TATTCACTGTCGAAGCCTATGTAACGACCCCGGTCCCGGCTTGTACATTTCGATAGCAACCGCTCAAACAAATGCTTAACGCAGGGCAATCAAGTGCTGTTGGATTATATGCGAATGTGTACTGTGCGCGTGCGTGGCCACGCACTGCGCATTCCAACTTCGACAGCGAATATAGAACCATATGTCAAAAAATGCTGATTACAACGATTTACCCTAGACCTCTATAACAAAACAAATTTCTGTTTATTTGTGTTGTTGGCATAGGGTTCTGCGTTGAACTGCTCGCGAAACACCCAACGATGAACATGCAGTATCTGCAGAAACTTTGCATGCTTTTTGGGTTGTCAAAATAATTTTCCTGATTTTTTCATTGGATTGTAGACCATGCAAGACTGGATCTATGACAATTCCATTGAGAAACAAAAATAAGACAGGGAAATTAAGTTCTAGAGGAAGCTTTGTAGGTGCACCGCTATCGCAAGAGATAGCGGGTGCGTGTATCTACATTGTAGGGTCAAACAGTCTTTTTTAACACAATTTTTCTGACACAATATGAAAAATATGTACATGTTTTTATTTTCCTGCAGCAACTACTTGCCCAAGAAGACGAGCGATGTGAGGAGTCGCGGTTGCAGGGCTAGGGCTTTTTTTTTCAAGCATCAAGATCAAGGAAAGAGTCACTGGTAAGTTTCACTGGGTATTCAAAATTTTGTATCCAAGACCAATTCGAGAGATCGACAAGAGCTGTAAGATATTCTCCGATAGCGGCGCTATATTACTTTGGTTGTGCTGCCTACTTCCAGGACAGGCACGAGTGAATAGCTTTCCTATTGAAATCAGCCAAAATCATGATGCGTCATTATAACGAACGGTTCTAAAACGCTATCGAAAAGTGATTTAAACATTGATTTAAATCAGTTTAAATAAGTGTTTTTGTGAGTATGGGGTTCCGTTGCGGATGAAATGATCAAATTAGCCGGCAAAAATTGAATTCTGTAGGATTTCGGCGTAAAAGACCGAAAGTAGGTAGCACAACCTGAAGCTGGACCCGCTGAGCCAACAGCGCACGTCAACCAATCAGAAACAAGCATTTAATTCATTTAATTTAACGCCCTCTAGCGGCCAAATAGTTATTGTCAATCCCCCAATTTCATCATTCCCAATTAGGCCACTTGTGGTGATGGTGACATACACTAAAATAGATAATGGACCCCTTTTTGGAACTTGATACTTCCCTTACTGGAATGTAATCCCTTCTTCCATAGCGGTGTAACCCTACTAAATTTGATGAATACCATCTGTAGTTTTTCCTATTAAATGCTGTTATAATTCTTGGTTTATATAGGCCTTGTCTTCATTTTCTATTTTTCTCTAACCCTTTTAGACATGCTGACCAGAAGAAGACACTGTGGTGTTGGAAAACCCAACCCCCTTGAGGTAGCAGCACAATACACAGAGAAAGAAAAGGACCCTCCTCACTTCATTGTCAAGCTGTTTGAGAACAAAGGTAAGCAACATCATTTTTTAATTCATAATTAAGTTTCATGGGGCTGCTACAAGTTTAGGTCGTATACTGTCCAACAATATTTGATTGATGTCACAGCAGAAACATAACTTAACAACATAATTTGCATATTTTGCACATTCATTTCAACTCAAGTTCTTTTGTTTTATGCCTCCGACATGAAGTGGTGCCGGAGGCATTCTGTTTTTAGGTTATCCGTCTGTCCGTCCATATTTCTTCTTACCACGATAACATAAAGGGATGTACATGTATACCTGGTGTTCTAGAAGGCGCTGTTCGATGGCATGTTGTGCGCCGCCAATTTTATCCCGAAGATTGACCAGGCATATTTACATCATTTTTTTACTGTTTGGAACATGGCATTGTGTAAACACCGGTATGATCGAATAACATATATTGGTGTCAATGGCAACTCACACCGTCTGTCCGAGTACACATTGTCAAGATATTCTGACAAAATTAATTGTACTGATCAAATTGGCACTGTGATTTTTGGAAACATATAAATTCCTGCCATTTCCATCTCAACATAAAAGAAATAGAATAGTGAATCTGGCATAAGAAAATCAGACACACTTCTTGGATACTTTTTGTAATCCTTACTTCCTCAAACTCTACAATGTACAGAACCTGCAAACCCAACTCTTGGAGGGTGTCCAAAATGAAAACAGTGAGAAACAAAACAAATTGAGTTGAGCTGGACATCCTTATTTACTACATATAGAGTATATAGGGACAATGTCTAGATGTGCGCCTGAAAGTAAATTGCACGAAATAAATTGCAAATCAATATTTTGTTGAAGATGACTTTCAGCTGTGACGTCAACAATCAACTATCGTTGTTTAGAGGTACCATAATGTTGGTGTAATGATGTCTTACTGTAATTTTTCTTACAGGAAGAGGGATAGTGGCACAAAGAGACATCTCAAAAGGGGAGTTTTTGTTGGAGTACCCAGGCCAACTTATATCTGCCCAAGAAGGCAACCAACGTGAGGAGGAGGAATCATCTGGTTTTCGTTTTTTTTTTAAGCATCAAGGACAAAGCTACTGGTAAGTTTGCACGTTTTATTCCTATTAGGAGATTATGAAACGGGCACTGTCCATCCGTATGTGTACTACCTATTACTTTTGGATGGTTCGTCCTATCATTACCAAATTTGAATGGTAGATGCATTAGCTAGGGAGGCCTATACATTTTAGTGTGGTCAAAGGTCACTCAGACTTTGTGTACAAAATGTTAAATTTGTACATAAGATGTTAAATCTACATATTACTTTTGGATGGTTCATCCCATCCTCACTAAAGCTGGATTTGGGGGTCATGCGGTCAAAGGTCATAGGGCAATAAATAGCTTGTGGTCGTGTTATCTCAAGAACCGATTGACGGATTCTCACCAAACTTGGCCCATGTATGTACCTTAAGGGGCCAATGATGAACTAATTCGATTTTTGGGTTATGAGGTCAAAGGTCACAGGGCTCATTATATATGCAATAAGAGCTTGTGATCACGTTATGTAATTGGGCTTAATATGTAAATCGCGCAATAGTGGAGGCATCATTTTCGACTGCGCGCAGTCGAACATCCATCTAGTTGAATGACATACAATATTGTACACTTTTCTTTGGAATACAGTCTTGATGCAACTGATGAGTGTGCTTTTGGGGATAGACTCGGCCGCCTCGTGAATCATGGACAAGGGAGGGAGGAGAACGCCCGAATGAAGATACTAGATATGAAGTCACATCCACACATGTGGATAATTGCTACAAAGAACATATCTAAAGGGACCGAAGTTCTGTACAATTATGGAGTTCGAGAACTGCCGTGGAAGAAAAAGGTAAAATTAATTTTGATAAATTTAGAGTATGATGGAAATTACAAGATTATTATCAGATGTGATAAAAGTCAAATTTTACCTTTTCATGTTTTTGCTTGTAACCCATGATAGACAAAGCAATACAAGTCGATCATGTATGTGAGATTCAATTCTTTACCTCTGTACATTACCCATAATACTAAAAATTGCCCCATGTGATATAGCTAAACTGATTACATTTTGGACAAGTTTCTACTCATTATTTGGCTTTATTCATCTAATTTCTAATTATTTTTCCCCTCAGCATTTCAGAGGACAAGTTCAAAGGGAAGAAGAAGAAGGAGAGACACAAGTCCACCAACAGGAAAGAGGGACTCTAGGACAACAACAAGAAGGAGAGATGCAGGTTCACCAGCAAGAAGGACAGACACAAGGACATGAACAAGAAAGAGGGACTCTAGGGCACCAACAAGGAGAAGACATACATGTCCACCAACAAGGAGAGACACAGGTCCACCAACAAGGAGAGACAGAGGACCACCAACAAGAACGAGGAACACAAATCCACCAACAAGGAGGAGATACACATGTCCACCAACAAGAAGGAGAGACAGAGGGCCACCTACATGAAAGAGAGACTCTAGGACACCAACAAGAAGGAGAGATGGAGGTCCACCAACAAGAAGGAGAGACAGAGGGCCACCTACATGAAAGAGAGACTCTAGGACACCAACAAGAAGGAGATATGGAGGTCCACCAACAAGAAGGAGAGACAGAGGGCCACCTACATGAAAGAGAGACTCTAGGACACCAACAAGGAGGAGAGATGGAGGTCCACCAACAAGAAGGAGAGACAGAGGGCCACCTACATGAAAGAGAGACTCTAGGACACCAACAAGGAGGAGAGATGGAGGTCCACCAACAAGAAGGAGAGACAGAGGGCCACCTACATGAAAGAGAGACTCTAGGACACCAACAAGAAGGAGAGATGGAGGTCCACCAACAAGAAGGAGAGACAGAGGGCCACCTACATGAAAGAGAGACTCTAGGACACCAACAAGGAGGAGAGATGGAGGTCCACCAACAAGAAGGAGAGACAGAGGGCCACCTACATGAAAGAGAGACTCTAGGACACCAACAAGGAGGAGAGATGGAGGTCCACCAACAAGAAGGAGAGACAGAGGGCCACCTACATGAAAGAGAGACTCTAGGACACCAACAAGGAGGAGAGATGGAGGTCCACCAACAAGAAGGAGAGACAGAGGGCCACCTACATGAAAGAGAGACTCTAGGACACCAACAAGAAGGAGAGATGGAGGTCCACCAACAAGAAGGAGAGACAGAGGGCCACCTACATGAAATAGAGACTCTAGGACACCAACAAGGAGGAGAGATGGAGGTCCACCAACAAGAAGGAGAGACAGAGGGCCACCTACATGAAAGAGAGACTCTAGGACACCAACAAGAAGGAGAGATGGAGGTCCACCAACAAGAAGGAGAGACAGAGGGCCACCTACATGAAAGAGAGACTCTAGGACACCAACAAGGAGGAGAGATGGAGGTCCACCAACAAGAAGGAGAGACAGAGGGCCACCTACATGAAAGAGAGACTCTAGGACACCAACAAGAAGGAGAGATGGAGGTCCACCAACAAGAAGGAGAGACAGAGGGCCACCTACATGAAAGAGAGATTCTAGGACACCAACAAGAAGGAGAGATGGAGGTCCACCAACAAGAAGGAGAGACAGAGGGCCACCAGCAAGAAGGACAGACACAAGGACATGAACAAGAAAGAAGGACTCTAGGACACCAACAAGGAGAAGACATACATATATACCAACGAGGAAAGACACAGGTCCACCAACAAGAAGGAGAGACTCTAGGACACCAACAAGGAGGAGATACACATGTCCACCAAAAAGGAGTGACAGAGGACCACCAACAAGAAAGAGGAACACAAATCCATCAACAAGGAGAGACACAAGTCCACCAAAAAGGAGTGACAGAGGACCACCAACAAGAAAGAGGAACACAAATCCACCAACAAGGGGAGACACAAGTCCATCAACAAGAAAGAGAGACTCTAGGACACCAACAAGGAGGAGATACACATGTCCACCAACAAGGAGAGACACATGTCCACCAACAAGGAGGAGATACACATGTCCACCAGCAAGAAGGAGAGACAGAGGGCCACCAACATGAAAGAGAGACACAAGTCAACCAACAAGAGATAGGGACTCTAGGGCATCAACAAGAAAGAGGAACACAAATCCACCAGCACAGGGAGACACAACAAGAAAGAGGGACTCTAGGACACCAACAAGAAGGAGAGATGCAGATTAATCAGCAAGAAGGACAGACACAAGGACACGAACAAGAAAGAGGGACTATAGGACACCAACAAGGAGGAGACATACATTTCCAACAACAAGAAGGAGAGACACAGGTCCACCAACAAGAAAGAGGGACTCCAGGACTCCAACAAGGAGAGACACAAGGACACCAACCAGTCGAAGGAGAGTTCAAAGGATTAGAACAATCTGAGCATCCACAAAACTGTGTATCTCCATCAAGTTGTTCCTCAGATGAGGAAGAGCAGTACACACGCCCAAGAAGGTTCATCTACCCTAACCTATCTAAATCATCAAGTGAACTCCAAAATCATTTTGACAGTGATGAATCTGACCTTGATCCAACATATCGACCAGAGGAGGGTAGCAACGAGGAATACAGCAGTGATGATGAGGCAACTCTTGAGATTCATCCAAGAAATGTTCAAGTGCGCAAGAGACCATCTTCTGTTATATCTACACCAGATGAAAAACCTACAAAGATTTATAAACAGTGCCTTCCAGGATCATTTTCAGGGCCAGAATTGCCACATCAGAAAACCAATGATAATATGGAAACGACACACAAACACGAGGACAAGAAAACAAGGTACAAGAAGCCATCAAGGCCATGCCCTTTCTGCAACAAAGCTTGTGGTGAAAAGCTCTCGAGACACATTTGTTTGGTACATAAGGATAAGGAGCAGGTGAAATCTGCCATGCAGCTGCCAAAGCGGGAGAGAGACAAGGTGTTCTCAAAGTTCAGGAAGGAAGGCATATACCAAGTAAATAGAGAACGTATGAAAGATGACAACCCCATTTATGAAAGAGAAAAGTTACCAAAATCAGGGAATGATGACAACCTTAAAATGTGCAGTAACTGCAAGGGCTTTTACAGCTCACATTTCTTCTGGCATCACAGGAAAGTTTGCCAAGGTGATATATGCACTCCATCTGAAGGAGTACCAGTAAACCTCATGGAAGGGAAAGATCCAGTGTATCAAAAACACCCAGACTTTGTCACTGACATACTTAGTAGATTCCAGAATGATGACGTTGGGAATACGTGTAGAACGGACAAAGTGATAGTTAATGTTGGACATCGACTGTGGACTAAACACAGATCCAAAAAAGACAAGAAACTTGAAGTAAGAAAATCAGTTATGGCTGATATGAGAAGACTTGCCACCTTATACACTGAGTTTAAGAAGAAACACGAGTTTCATGGGACTGCAGATCTCACAATGGGACATGCTGGAGACATGTTCAGTAGAGAGCACTTCGAATCTTTGACGGAGGCAATCCAGACGCTCACTTATGATGAAACTGAAGGCAAACTAAAGCCAGGACTGAAACTCTGCTTGTACTTTGTGCTGAAAAAAGCTAGCAAAATCACTAAAGCTAGTTTTCTTGTATCCAGGCTAGATGAAGATGCATCTGAGATTGACAAGTTCGTAGAGATTCTTGACTTGAACCAGAATTTGATTTTTGGGGATGCACACTACGAAATCCAAAAGAATCGCCAAGTGCGTTTGAGGAAGCCTGCAGAGCTCCCGCTTGAGGCTGACATTGAAGCATTGAAGACATACACTCAAAAGAAAGTCACAGAAATCATCTCTGATGAGTTCCTGGTTTGGGATTCTCACACATTTGTAGAGTTACGAGATCTGACTTGCTCGCGATTGACATTGTGGAATGCAAGGCGTGGTGGAGAACCCAGCAGGCTTACAACCGAAGAATGGAGAGATGCAGAAGAGGGTGTATGGATGCAGAAAGACAAGATTCATGAAGTTAAAAATCCAGCCCATCAGGAACTTTTATCTCAGCTCAAGATATGCTACCAGACTGGGAAGGGCACTAATCGCTTGGTTCCAGTCCTGTTCCCAAGAGACACTGTGAAACCTGTGCAACTTCTATGCGATCAGGAAATCCGGCATACAGCAGGAATAAGACCTGATAATAAGTACATATTCGCTTGTACTCAAATGTCTCATGACCATGTTGGAGGGTGGCATGCTCTAAAGAATGTCTCAGACAACATCAGCCTTTCGTCCAACGTTACGGTGAATGCCACCAAGAACAGGCACAGAGTGTCTACAATTTACGCATCCCTCGACTTGCCTGATGCTGACTTGGAACTATTTTACCGGCATATGGGACACTCCTCTACAATCAATCAAACAATCTACCAGACCCCACTTGCCATCCAAGAAATCACCCGAGTAGGGAGTCATCTCCATCATATAGATATAGGAGGTAGGTAAACATTTATACAAATTTTGCATTGGTTCAATGTACCATATTATATGTACAGCAAATTTATGATTATCTCGAGTTCAGATTTATAACAGCGAGGCAGTAGTAATAGAAATAAGAGCTGATATAATTTTGAATTGGGATAGCATATAGGATAATAACATCGAGCAACAAAACAACCAGTAAATGATACACCCAATTGTACATTTATATGAAAACAATTGCAAAACATTGATGGAAAAAACTTGCACCATTTCATATTCCCAAATCTGAAGCAAACCTAACGCAGAAAACAAAAATGTTCATCAAGTGATATTTACTATTTATTTATTTCATAAACTCTTTGTGTTTGGTATATATTTATTTTGTATTTGTTTGATTGCACTATTACAAATTTGTTAATTTGTTTATGCTCTCTCTCTCTTATATTGACTGTTGTTATATCGTGTATGCAAATTATTGATGTTCGCATTTTATATGTCTTTCCCTTCCCATAGGAATGAGGGCACGCAAAGAATCTGAAGCGTCTGATGACGATGGCTGCTCAAGTGCACCAGCGACCTCAAAGGATGGCTGCTCTACAGCACGGGTGAACTCTAAACATGACGACTCAACTCTAACAGTGACCTCTGAGGATGGCAGCTCAACTACACCAGCGACCTCAAAGGATGGCTGCTCTACTGCAACATTGACCTCTGGGGATAGGTCTTCAGGTAATATGAAAGCGAAGTGTTTTTTTTTTTGCACATTGTTGCTTTGATATTAAACAGGGAGTTGTTCCCATTAACTCTGCAGTTCAACTATCACATGTGCTGAATTCATAGTTGTATTGTATTGTTGAGAATCATAGGCATGAGTTCAAAACTTGGTTCTTGTAGAATGAATCAGTTCATAAAGGTTTCAGCATATGATACAATGGAGATTCATGAAGAAAAAAAAAAGTAGTAGATTCATGCATTTATATGACAAATATTGGTGTAAAACTAATTGGATCTGCTCAGGAACGCAACACTGTATGGGAAAAGTTTATAGCTGACCATAATGAGAAGTTTTCCCAGCAACCATTGTAAATACTGAAAGATTGTGTGATATGGATACAATTTGAATCTAGCAACTGCGAGAGTAATGGTAAAGGTGTATTTGGCCTAGACATTTAAAAGTTGGAGGGACACATGGGCTCTAACTACCTGTGCGCATGCATACAGCTTGTTGATTGATTTATTCCATATTTTTTAGCCCATGTGAGCAGAATGCTCAAGTGAGATTTTGCCATCCGTTTTGTTTGAAGGGGGTATACTGGAATCAGCGTGCAGTCGGTTGGGCGGTCGCGCGGTCGGTCGAATCTTGTGTCGTGAACTACTTCCTCAGTTTTTGAACAATTCTAGTGAAATTTGGCACAAATGTTTGCCTTGGGGTGTTGATGAGCAGACACACTATAGGCCCCTGAGCAAATTTACAAACTTTTTTTTCCCCCTTGGGGCACTATGGGGAGGTTGCGAAATTCAGGTGAGCATCTAGTCTACTGGGCTCTTTTTGAGTATTTTTTATTTTATTTTTGCCACATCATATGAGATGGGGATTTGAGGTTTGCAAAACATTAATCACCCTGTTTAAATTACATTATCTTTTGCCCATAAATAAATTGGTACATGTAGGTGTCCCGATGCTGTGGTTATGTTTCATGAGATAAAGCAAATTCAGGGGAGGGTAGTCATGCAAGCTGCAACCGGAGTGTTGTGCGTTTTAAAGTATTTTTCTTCTTTTCAAACATCTTTCATAGATGTAGGCACAACATGTGACAAACTGTGAAACATGTCTGAAGCGTAGAAGTATATAAGGCTTATATGTTATGTCATTACAGCCCGAAGGTACAACCGCTGGTCAAAGCAGGGAAGCAAGCAGTGCAAGCAGTATTTCTCTGCAGCAATCAAACAAGGGGAACCATTACCAGGTAAGCTTCTTTGTGTTTATGTTTAAGTGCATCTTTAGGCAAAGGGTTGAGAAAAGTTGTAATTTTGTTGTCATTTTAAAGGGCAGGAAACTGGTATAGCATGTATTAGAAGTGTGCATATAATTTATATAAAAATCAGAATATTGTGTTCCAAGAAACTAAGTTCCAGGGATCCCCAGCTTTCAGTTTTGGTAGCTTCCATTTACTAGTTTCAAGGTCTAGTCATTATTATACCCCTGCCAAACGAAGTATATAGGAATCAGCGTGTTGGCAGAAGTTGATGACAGTGGCAGAAAGTGCATTGCCATGGTAATGGCATATTATGACAAACAAAGGGGGGGGGGGGATCTTGCGTCGCGAACTACTCCTTCAGTTTTTAACAATTACGTGATAACTCAAGTATGACTTGATGGAATATCATCAAACTTTGAGTAGGACTTGGCAATTAATAAATTTGATTTTGAGTGACACTGCAATAGCTGGGGGGGGGGGGGGGGGAGGGGGTTATTCCCCCATCCATCAGATGTTCTTCGTTTACGCGATAATTTGAGTATGACTTGATTGATGTCATTAAACTTGGTGAGACGGTCATGTAGGACATGACAAGTAACTCAGGACTCATTTGATTTCCCCACCCCCATCTCGGACCTCTGCCATATATCAATGTGTGGCATGTGTGTATACATGGATTATTTGTTTTACAAAAATGCATAGTCAAATTTATTGTTATTCCTATTTGATTATGCACATATGCAACTTTTTTTCCAGGAGTTCTACTTTTTTTCTTCAGTTTCCAGCATTTATGGAGAAAGTGCACTTAATTGACATTAATTGGCTTTTCATGTACTCTGAAAGATAGCTTAGTCAAATTAATAATAAGTATTGAAATTTCATATGAGTTGATAGTGCAAATATGCAAATTTGTTCAATATAATGCAGTGCGTGAGAGGGCAGAGGCATACCAGTCGACTAGTTCCTATTTAATAACCTAAGATAGTATCGATGATGACAAAGGATTTAGAATGTATTGTTCTTATTTCATACCCAGGGAGGAAGGCCTGCACCACTTTCCTGCAAAGACATCAAATCACCATGGAATGGCAGGCGGTAAGAAATAAGGTGATGAACGAAAGGAATAAAGCAAAGAAAAACTTTGATGACAGAAAGAGGAGCTTCCTAAACTAATAATATTAGTTGGGTCAGATCATATGGTCTGATTAACATCTTTTGTTGCCTTTTTTGGCACAATACATGTACCTTCACCTGTATATTCCAGTAGGTATGTGGCTTCTAAATGAATATTCATGAAAGAGCTTGCACAAGGACTCATCCTCGTTTTGTTTCAGTGTCAAGCCTGGTCCTTTATCTGCACATGCGCAACCTGTAACTTGCTCTAATTTGTGATAGAGCTGAATTGATGAAAGTCTAATATGGTGGGCAAAGAGGTCAGTTGAAACATTGGTGTAATGATGATTAATGAGCCTGAATGAAGTTAGTTTATTTCGGTTTTCCCTGCCATTGACTTAGTGTATGTATTAAAGAAAGTGCTAAATGGTTATATAGTGGACATTTTGTAACCTGGATGTATGCAAGTTAAATGAATATTAAAGGTAATACAAAGTTTTGGGAATATTTCACTAGGGTCGGAGAATAACGTTTAAATTTTCATTATCATTGTAAAACCTTGTGTACGAAAAACCGCCTCTGAATAAATTGGGCTCTAAAACGCTTTGGATTTCGAGATATTCTAATATGAAATTTATCGGTGCTCCCGATAAATTTCAAATAGCGCCTACGGTCATATAACGGTAGCTGCGACCATGAAAATCTCGGAATATGCAGTTCTGATATTAGGTTTCCAAAAGAATAGTCAAGAAACATTGCTTTAAAGCTAAAGTAATATCAATCCGGAGAGGGCGCTATACAACATAAAGAGTTTATTATCTACAATTTCATCACTTTAGACTCGATTACAACAGCGACAACGATCATTGTGTTTTGTTGGATCGTATATATGCTTCCAATATGCACATTTGAACAAAATTCATGACCCCATACCAAAACTTTGTATTACCTTTAAATTTAATTCAGGATCAAATGAAGATGACATGTATCTAATTAATGATGTAATGATGAATACTGCTTTCAGTGCATGATGAAGGTTTGGACATTAGAAATGATTGGTTGCACACTGTACAGTGAAGTGTAGTTATGCAGTCAAACTTCAAGTTCAATTCAAGTTTATTAGAGTGAACTACATATTATTAGACAAAGGGTATTTATAGTACTTGATAATGATGTCAGTTTGAGCACAATCCCTTTTCGAAGTGTTTTTGAAGAGCATCAACTTGATTCCACAAGCACAGATATTACAAAGACACTTAGATGTCATTTTACTATCTAATCTTGCATATATATGGATTGCACGTTTGCATCTAGTTGAACTTTTGTTATTGTTATTCCTGTTATTGGAATATTTTACAGCATTGCCTTTTATATGGTGTACATATTTGGCTACATCAGTGTTCTTTGTGACAAGAGTAAATAATGCTAATTTGCTCATTTAGTGCTATAATAATTACATGTGTTAATGTTTTTATTCATGAGAAATGTAGGAAAAGTATAACGATTACATTCTGACCCACTAGGTACGTTGTAGTGTTGCATAACATTGGGCACTGTCCCTATTCATCCCAGAATAGACATCGAAATATGAAAATGACTACATCGGGATTAATTTCAGAACCGAAGATCTCCACATGTATGTTCTTTCTTTTGCTTTCATTTGTGAGGACCCAGACCAAAAATGAGATGACTTCCTTTACTAGATTCAAAAGATACAGGCAAAGTTTTGACCACATCTTAATTTTACACCTTTTTTGAGAAGCTCTGTTTTCGTTCATGCACGAGTGGTTATTCATTGGTTCATGTCAAGTTAGTCATGGTTGGGTAGAGTATGTATGTTCCAATTATATGTAGAATTTCAAGGTTAAGCATTATTAGTTTTATAAATATTTTAGAAATATAAAACTACTACTGCTACTACTACTACTACTTCTACTACTACTACTACTACTACTACTACTACTACTACTACTAGTCTTGTATTACTACAACTACTACTAGTAGTACTACAGTACTACTACTGCTGCTGCCACTGCTGCTACTACTGCTACTACTACTACTACTACTACTACTACTACTACTACTACTACATTGGAACCTCTTTATAACGAGGTCCTTGGGACCATGAAAATTACCTAATGTTATATCAGGTTTCTCATTATATCAGTGTAAAAAACCAAAGAAATATAAAGAGCTGGGACCAGCAAAATTACCTCGTTATAAGAGGATTTTGTTATATCCGATATCGTTATAACGAGGTTCCACTGTACTACTACTACTACTGCTACTGCTGCTACTACTACTACCACTACTACTACTACTTCTACTACTACTACTACCACTACCAAGGAGGTTTACTACCAAAACCACCACCACACTACTTTGTTCTGTCTCTCTCCCTCCCTTTCCCTATTTCCAATTTTCTGTCTCTTTCTTGCCATTTCTTTATTTTCTTGCCTGATGATGTGATACACTGAAATATTTTCTTGTATTGTCTGTGCAATTTAAATTGTTTCTTTAATATTCAATGTGACTATTAATTTAATATTTTGCATTGAGATCTCTCCCATTTATATAATATATGTATTCTACTTCATGCTTATTTATAATTTTGAGCATGTGCCCAATTTTTATTGCTTGATTTTAGACTTGCTCAATTAATCCATGGTTTACCTTTGTAATAAATTCCTTGCTAATAAAATAACTAAATAGTTCCCGCGTTTTGTTTTTGCTTTTGAATGTGACCTTTTGTGGATGACCAGTTGAAGATGTGAATGCATATTTTGATTGAGTTTGTGTCCATATACACATGTCTGTGAGATTCGTTGTGTCTGGTTCGTTTTGTTTGGCTTGTGCTAAACGGTCGGGTCGCGTTCGGGTTCCTTTTTGAAAGTTAGCATATGGTGTCTTCACATGCAAGATTCTTTTTCCTTTTCATATTTTTCTTATAGTATACAAATCCATTCATATGACATTGATAATGATATTATGATTTATAAAGAGGATAGTTATAATTATGATAATGGGATGAAGATGGTAAAAACTGTTGCGCACCTGTTGCGCCCTGGATCCGCCACTGCATGTCATATCGAGTATTAACAAAAACAAAGGACATGTGCGAATATACCTCCACACAAGAAAAAAATGATAAAAAAAACATTAATAATAACATAGACAAAATAATCGATAAACTTGTACTTCAAGGAGACACAAATATGTCTCCATTGAGTGGGTGTTTCCTAGAAGTAATGCATGTCTTCAAAGACCCAGGAAGTTTCCAGTTTGTGGAATTAAATCAAATAACAATAATAATAATGATGATGATAATATTTCTATAGATCTGACATTTGGGAGACATTTTGGTGTTATTATACCTACTTATAGGAGACACCCACATGAAGGAGACATTTTCGTGTTAATAAACAAGAATTTATAACAATGTTAATAGAAATGATAATAATGATAATAGTTATTATAATTATAACGATAATAGTAATTTAATATAGACTAAGCCTATGTGCAATCCTTATAACCCTTTAGGCTTGTATGAAGACTAATAGTATGTTCAAAAATCTATAAAGCAAAACATACATTTTAATTATGTTACATTTATATATATATATACATATAATTATGTGTGCATGCTCAGTATCACTATCATTAGGAGACATGTCTCCCAATAGTATGAGAAAGACAAAATGTCTCCCTTTTGTTGCTCAGATAGTAATGAAACGTAAAGGAGACATAAATTACGACGGTATATCTTTTACCGAAAAAGTGTGTCTTTGAGGGTAAAAAGTAATTAAGTAATTGAAAGACTCTGGTTTGAAGATCTTTTCTGCGAAATAAAAACGAAAGTTTGTATGCTTGTTTTAACTTTATGGTACCATTTTGCTACTGTCTCCAAAATATTGATTTTTATCACATGTCTTCCGTATGTGCAATCCATAGTTATATATATATATATATATATATGTATATGTATGTATATGTGCGTATATATGGATATATATCTATAAAAAAAAAAGTTTAAGCTCACTTCCTTATTTTGTATTCATTATGTATCATGACTATATTGTTTATCTTATGAATTGTTTTGTATATTATCTTTGTAAACACATTTTATATTATGTATTGTATTATTTTGAACGCAGAAATAAAAGCAAACAAACAAACAAACAAACAAACAATGATTAGTTGTTAGAGTGCTCCTTAGTGAGTGTACTCTCTTAAAAAAAAGAATGAATTTTCACTCTTTTTTCACTTTCTTGGGAGTGACGTCCGTGATCACTTGTTTAGGTGTGAAAATCGATTTATTTTAGAGTGCTCTCTAAGAAGAAAAGAGTGAATGTTCACTCTATTTTCACTACATTTTCACTCTCCAGAGGAGTGACGTCCGTGATCACTCGATTTTTTTAGAGAGTATCCAGAGTGATCGTATGTGCACAAGTGTACAATGTTTAGTGGTTAGAGTGCTCCTTAGTGAGTGTAGTTGAATTGTACCCCCTTGTAAGTGTTTAAACATAATACATGTACATCAAATCCACAATATAAAACAATAATAACAGTTATCACACAATGTGTCCTAATATGATGTGATGATGCGGGTTTCTCATTGTGATTATGTCACAGGTTTCTCATTGTGATGTCACAAGTTTCTCAATGTGATGTCACAGGTTTCTCAATGTGATGTCACAGGTTTCTCAATGTGATGTCACAGGTTTCTCATTGTGATGTCACAGGTTTCTCAATGTGATGTCACAGGTTTCTCATTGTCATGTCACAGGTTTCTCATTGTCATGTAACTTTTGCAGCCATCTTTGGGCGTAAGAGTGACTGCTTCTACAAAATCAAAGCTCTGGTTGGGTACAAGTTGGAATTCCAGTTGCTGAATGAGCTTACATAGGACCACCTTGGATTCAATCTAATAGGAATACAATCAAAATTACAAAAGGAATCTGCATCAAAGGTTGAAAATATATCCTAGTTGATAGTTTTAAAAAAAATGGAAATCTGTTTATTTTGTTTTCCAATCAATACTATTACAAAGATGAGAGGAAAATAAATATCAATAACGAACAAAGATTCCTGTTCATCTGATGACTGTATCAAGCTGAAAGCCCTCCTAAAGCATGATTCATATAAAACATCAACAAAATAAATACCATATTTTAATGTCAACTTGTGTTCACAATTCCATAATGCAAAAAAGAGGAATGGGACATAGGAGTTCATTAAAAAAAAAAATCATGTTTACAAGTATGCACTGCTATGGGATTTATATTGCCCTTAAAGGTAAAGACCAGTTATGGTCATGCGATTGCATTGTGAAAGAAACGTTGTGGAATCGATCAGAAAAGGTTGATCATCTAGCATCTAGCATATGCAAGGTTCTGGAATCATCAAAATGATAAGAAATTTGGCCCATTCTTCGTAAAGTTACAAGCACTATACACAGAAAGATGTATATGGGACTACCCTATATCTCTCACAGACCATGAGAGAAACAAATTTACCAAATATATGAATTAGTAGGCGGTTTCCCGGCAAATTTGTTATCATCATATATTAGTCAAAACATATTCTTTCACATGATTGGTAATGAGAGCTTCCATTTCATTTTTTGAAATTGGGGCGTTTCCAATACTGGTCTTTACCTTTAAGGGATGCCTACTGTAGATTGTACTACTTTGATTGATATACTCACCATAGCAAACGTCTGGCCGATGCAGGCTCGAGCACCCAGAGAAAATGGTATGTACGCAAATAAGGGGCTGCAAGATCATAAAACAAAGTTCACAATATAAGGTAATACAGACATTTTGGTCAAGGCCATGAAAAAATCTATTTATTTTTCTTGTTATCGTCTTTCACTAGGACTTAATTTATGGTTAGTTTCATCCTATTGGCTTTGAAAGCTTTTAGTACAATAAAGGTCGGGGTCATTCCTATCACCAGGAAGAAGAAAAAAAAATTAAATCAATTTTTACCTTTTTACTGACTTGAGATTTATTAACATGTATTGTTTTGTGGTTTCACATCATTGATAATAAAAATGTATGACTTCTTATAAACTGTTTATTAAGTGAGTGTCAATAATGTGACCCAGCCCCACAAACCATCAAAAAGTCGCCATATTACAATTTTATTTTAATAGCTTAGGTTCTGGTTCTAAGAGGAGATTCTTAGGTTTAAAAATCATGTATTTATTACTCATCAAGTTTCCTAACCCAACTAAAAAAGAGTAAAATGTCTGTTCCGAAATAATGTTCCTTCAGTTGGAGAGTATGCAGTCTATTGAAACACTCTGAATCTCAAGGTATTGTGCAAAGTGACAACTCTATTTATCTATCTGCGTATCTCCTCCCGGTTCGGAGGTTGATTGCAACATCTCGCCATTTTCATCTTCTGCCATTCTGGTGCACTCTTGCAGTTTTAGTCCACTCCAGTTATTGCATTCTCTTCCCAGTTGATTCTGGGTCTCCCTCTAGGTCTACTTCCTTCCACTCTTCCTTCCAATACATCCTTTAAGAGGCTTTGGTGCCTTTTAACATGACCAAAGTATTTGATTTTTCTCTCCTTAACTAATCCTACTAGTGCAATTTGTTTACGCCCTGCCATGTGCAATATCTCTTTGTTGGTTCTCATTCGTTTCCAGGATATTTTCATCATTCTTCTGTAGATCCACATTTCAAAAGATGTTATTCTATTTTCCATGGCCTTGTTTATTGTCCATGTTTCTGCTCCATACAATAGGACAGGGTCACAGACCATACATAACAGTTTACTAGTCTCAACCTAGTCTCAACCTAGTCTCAACCTAAGCGCAAATTTCACCTTTCTATTTGTGAATAATCCTTTCATTGCCAGAGGTGACAACAGGATGATTAAAACTTCTATCATAAAGGGATAAACTGATTAAATCTTATAATACAAGTGAAGCATATCCTGCTCTCTATTTTGTCTATGTATCAATAAAACAGCTTGCTCTATTTCAAGATATAGGAGATAAAAGTGAGACTAGTGGGCCAGGGTTGTAAAGAAATGAAAATTACAACACTAGACAGACTCAAAATCAGATAAACATAGGTCTATAAAATATGCCTAAATACCTATTTAAAGATATAGGAGATAAAAATGAGACTAGTGGGCCAGGGTTGTAAAGAAATGAAAATTACAACACTAGACAGACTCAAAATCAGATAAACATAGGTCTACAAAATATGCCTAAATACTTATTTTAGATTGTTTAATGCTTACAAATTTTGAAATAAGTAGAGAGTATTCTACAATTTGACGATCCTGACCGAATACATATTTATTCAACCCTAACTGAAAATCAAGAGCTTTAATTCAGTTTCCTTCATCATGATATCAAGGGTTAATCATTATGTTTTGGATATATTTTGAAAATTAAATTAATGCCTATTATTATCACGATATAATTGTTATATTCTGATCAACATTTTAGTCTTGTGTGTGGTACTTTCGTAACTTAATTGCTCAGTCTTCAGTGGGTCATATTTTGATTTGCGTTTCTGAACGCACTCGGTACCACGAAGCGTGATTCCTTTCTTGCAGCCTCAATTTTAGAGCGATAAAAACACCTACCAACAACTGAAACGATATCCATTTATTTCTAAAGCATATTTATTTAATTAAATTGAAATATAAGTTTGTGAATTGCATATTTTAAGTTCTTTATTTCAAAATATCAGTGTGAAATTTAATTTTGAAAACCCGAAACCCGAATATTCAAACCCGTGTTTCGGCGTGACGGTCGGGGACCGGGCGGGGAACCGCTTTGACTCAGGCCTATAGTACCATCATATATATATATATATATATATATATATATATATATATATATATATATTATTATTTAATTTAATTTTAGAAGGTCGGAGATGATCCAAACAAAGCAAAAAAATGGTTATGAAATATATTAATAGATTTCCCTGTTATTTTTTCTTTCTTCTCCAACTAACACTAAATAATATCCCTTAATCTATCAGGTTTTTCTTTGACAGTATAATTATGATTGATTTTATTCCTACCTGTCCTCATCCCTTGTGAATCTCTCCGGATCAAACTTCTCTGGATTCTTGAAATGTTTCTCATTCCTACCCATTCCATATACGGGTATCTGAATAGAAAGAGAGTAATAGGAATTGTAAAAAGTGGTTTCATTAATACACTATCATATCTTTATTACTTTCATAATCGTATACATTCTAATACAAAATTATAGTAAGCAATACAGAAAGGAAATACAGAGGAAGCTATCAAGAATAGTGTTTATAACTACCTCTTCTTTATATCAGGTTAAGTGTGCTGGTCCCATTGCTTTGTATTCTGTTCATTTTCATTGCTGATTTAAAAAAAATGATACGAGAAGGTAATTTCTTTGGCCATACGTAATTTGTTGAACTGCAACTTGCTCATGTTACTCCTGTACTGAAGAAGTCATCCCTCGATCGTGATGAGATGAGCAGTTATCAGCCTATATCTAATCTGCCTTTCCTCCTCAAAGTCCTCGAGAGAGTAGTCGCCAAAAGACTAACATCACACCTTGAGACCATGCAATATCAAATGACATCTTGAGGGCAGAGGACGAAAAAAAGCAGCTATGGTAATTCTTTTGGACTTATCGGTTGCATTCGAAAGAATTGATCACAAAGTGCTTCTCCGGGGCCTGCAACGGGACTTCGAGGTCGATGACACTGCCCTGGAGTGGTTCAGGTCATATCTTCACTGCAGACGACAGGATGTGAACTTCATTGGAACTGTGTCGGATAAAGCTTCCTTAATCTACGGCGTTTCGCAGGGTTCCGTCCTTGGACCGGTACTCTTCACGTTGTACACTTCCCTCTTGGGAACGTAGCCTGCCAAAATGGTCTTCAAGTCCACTTGTACGCAGATGACACCCAGCTGTATGTGACATTTGATCGAACGGTGGCAACTGATGAAAAGGCTGCAATGGATGGTGAAGAATTTCATGACCGAATACCTCATCATCTCTTCACCAAACATGAGGAAAAAGATCAAACTATGGACCTCCAAGTTGGCAATGTGTCTGGCTCTCCTACAGTAAGCGCCTGTAAACTTGGGGTCTACTTCGATCAGTCCATGAAGATGTACAGGCACATTTTACAGGTATGTCAGACTGCTTACTTCCAGCTTTCTAACATTGCAGCTATTAGACCATTGCTTATAGGGTAGGCAGCAGAAAACCTTATCCATTCACTAGTTTCCTCACGACTTGATTTCTGTAACAGTTTTCTAGCTGGTCTTCCTTCTGCAACCTTGAAAGAACATCAAGGAGTACAGAATGCAGCAGCACGTTTGCTTCCTGGGCTGAGGAAGCATGGTCACATCTTTCCTGTACTGGCTGAGCTGCATGTGCTTCCTGTCAAGAGCAGAATTGAATCCAAGGTCCTGCTGCTCACATTTAAGGCGATTCATGGTCAGACCCCTGGATATGTGTCATCTTCAATTGAGCGGCGTCATCTTCTCCCCGGTCTTCCCTCAGGTAGCCTTAATCTCCAGATGCCCATTACTCATCTCAAGGGATATGGAGACCGGGCACTTTTCTTTATTGCTTCTCGCCTGTGGAACTCCCTCCCATCATTTTTTCGCGAAATTGACAATCAGGACCACTTTAAAGCTTCACTCATGACTCAGATCTTCCTTCAGACATTTAAATGTAAACTTTATCGGAGGAGCTCGCGCCTTTGAATGTTTTTTTAAAAACAGATATATGGTGCCATAAAAATGATGTGAATCTTCATTATCATTGACTGTGGATATACATACTTACCATTACAACACTGCCTTTAGGCACTTTGTATCCACATAGATCCATCTCATGAGGTAAAAGTCTATGGATATGACCAAAAGGAGGGTTGATTCTAAGAGCCTCTTTCAAAACCTGAAAGAGAAGACAGTTAATAATATACATTAGCCAAGAACTATCAGCATTCTATCGATGTAATTAAAATGGATTTCCTCAAAGTTGAAGGGGGAAAAGACAAAAATATCCTGTAAATAAATGCCCTGTAAGGTAACAGGTGCGTGAAATAAGGTTCAAAGCTCTTGGGAATTCATGTTTGAGAAGTACATTTTTGAACTAGGAAATCCAGAAGTTTATCAATGATAAATTATAAACATTGATGCAACAGCAAGTCCTACACAAATGGTTGCCATAAGTAAGATACTATTTTGTTTTGATTGTAAAAAAAAAAAATCACTGTTTTGTGTCTTCATCGGACATTGTTTTGTTAATGAAACTTTAGTCCTACGGTTCATAACAAAAAGTGTAACCTTTTGATGTAAAAAGAAAAGAATTGCAGTCTTACCAAGGTTAGATACTTCATCTTGCTGACATCTGAATATTCAACATAGTTTCTCCCTTTCAATACAGTATCAATTTCATCACGGAGTCTGGGTGAAAATGAAAAGATCAAAAAGATTTATAACTATATTTTAGTTGAATAAATTAATTTCTTTGGGATCAGCAGGTATCAGTAATATTTCTACTAGAAAAATAAATCACAATAATTGTTAACTGAGAAGGAAACTTAAGCAAATTGATAAATACCAGGAAAAGTTTCCAAACGTGAGTTTAATTTTATGTCAGAAAATTATTGCAATTTTAAACTTGCCCATAATAAAGGTATTTCGACTTAGATCAGAAAATAAAGCAGCAAAGGTTACCGGAAGAAGCCATTCTATGTCTCAATAAAAATTTCTGATACTGCTACTCGAAATCATCATTTATAACTTCATCAGCTATTGCAATTAACACAATTTAAAAAAAAAACATGAGGTCTCATGAGCAGCAAAATTCTGTGAAAATGTGTGAATGATTTAGGACCATTATTGCAGAGATGCCAACCTTTTGACACAAAAAACAGACCGAGTATCCTAAAAAATCAGATTTTGGAAAAAGAAATCAGATTTTCACGAAAAACTTGACACTTCCACTGGTCCATCGGCCCCGGGCCAGTCAATTTCAGAAAAATGTTTTACTGGTAAGTACGGTCAAGTAAAATGTTTGCTCTTTCATTAGAATTTTAAAAGAAAAATTGTAAAGCAAAGTTTTTTGTTGGTGTTGCGGGGGTTTACTTGTACCTGTTTCAATGCAATTCCGCTGTTTTTATGGGTTTTGAAAAAATAATTAAAAAAAGATTTTTAAATCGCATTTTAAAAGGTGATATCGTATTTCACTCTGATTATCGTACTAAATATGAGTACTAGATATAATCGTACTGGTTAGCATCTCTGTTATTGTTTCAATCCCTAACAATAATCCTGATCACACTTATATACGATAACTCTGTGGTATATAAGGTGGTACATCTATGTAAGGATATGGTACCATTAGATACAAACAGGAGGTACATCTATGTAAGGATATGGTACCATTACATACAAACAGGAGGTACATCTGTGTAAGGATATGGTACCATTAGATACAAACAGGAGGTACATCTATGTAAGGATATGGTACCATTACATACAAACAGGAGGTACATCTATGTAAGGATATGGTACCATTAGATACAAACAGGAGGTACATCTATGTAAGGATATGGTACCATTACATACAAACAGGAGGTACATCTGTGTAAGGATATGGTACCATTAGACACAAACAGGAGGTACATCTATTTGAAGATACGATATTCACTTTTTCATGACTTGAGGATTTCTACCAAGATGAAGAAGAGTGAAGGAGAGAAGGTTGAATGTTGTTTCCTGACCTGGTGGGTACAAATATCATTGAAATGTTATATCGTTCAACAATGTAGCATTAAACACTAGATGGTAGATATGCAAACCAAACTACAACTTACAAAGAAATCAACCTGACTTCCAAAAACATCCCTGTCATGTCATATTTACACAAAATCTGATATATGTATATATATATATATATAATTTTTATATATATATATAGGCGTGAAGAAAATGGTCTAGAACGTGAGACGTAGCTGTACTTTTCGCACTGTCTCGCACTTTTATATGTATATATATATATATATATATATAGTCTTGTTTTGATAAGGCCCCTAAAAAAAATCTACTGTTATTTCAGTCAATATAGAGCTATATTAGAGAAGGGTAGCGTCTTCAGTTAACAAACTGCTATCCCAGGGCCTGGCATAATAAAAGAACAATAAATTTAACACATTTGCACACTCGAAAAGTATAAACTGCACACAACAGCAGTTATAAAATATAAGAAACTGAGATTATGATTTACAAAATGGTGCGAAATAACTGATTTTACACATATATTTAATTAAAACATCAAATAATTGAATCAATAAATTGTTTAAAATGTAAAATATAAACACTTGGATTACATTTGCAGTCTATTCTAGGATAGCACGTATTGTAGGAAGATTTAACATAACCACAATTTTCTTACACTGACAGTTATATCAACTTCCTTGCTAACTTTTCATACTGTAAAAGCAGATTTACCTCATAAACTTTGGAAATTAACTTAAGAAATAGTCTATAATGTGCAAAGCGGTCAACCATCTCCTTTGGAAGATCAGAACCAATGCTTCATACTTTGAAAACATCCTTAGTAGGCATAGTACTATAAAGGTGATTCATGGATCTGTGTTAAAGGTAAAATGTGTAATTAGGATTCAGGGTTTTATAGATACTGTACAGTGCGTCCTAGAAAAAACGAAACCGAGAATTATCGATGTTTTATTATAACTTAATCACAATTATAATTGATAAATGACACATTGTTAAGCTCAGATCCTCCTCTTTCATTTGATGCAACTCATATAATGCATATTTCAAGCATGAGTGATTAAAATGAATTTGAAGAGAGGAAAGCAAAAAGTCATTTGGCGGACGGTATCTGAACTTCAAAAAGAAAATTATATTTCTAGAAAGTTGAGTTTCTGCCCTTTCATATGGTAACTCAGTTAGGCAAAATGAGCTAGAAATAACAAAGTTCTGTTTGTTTGCCTGCCGTAGAAACAAACTGAATTAACAAAAGACTTAACTCTGTTTCGTTGACAATCGGCCGTAGACGAAAGACTTCATGCATGGCTGATTTTCAACGAAACGGAGTTAAGTCTTTTGTCAATTATGCTGTGCAGTTTTGAAACTGGAGTTATCAGAATTGGATTGAAGGTGCATGGAGACAAATAGCTGACCACTAGACCAGTTTATTATAAGAATAAGAAAGAAAGATGGTGCACAAAAAGTTACCAGCTCCAAAGAAGGTAAAGAACTCATCGACCAGTTCTTCTAAGTCAAAGTCTTTGATTCCTCCTTCCGAGTTGTTTGACTCCTGCAGGATGTAAGTTAGAATGTCACGAGGAACTTGGTCACCCCGTCTAAGAGCATCCATACGAGCCAAGATGCAACGCCGACCCATCGCTCGGATCTCATTAGCAGCTGCTCTAACCTCACGTTTGTATTTGAGGTCTTTGGGAAGGATGCTGTACTGTACGGTAAGAATACATGAATAAACACATACATTATAAACATACAGCAAACCCGTTGGTTTTATCCAAATACCTTGAAAAGAGACTCATACACTGTATAAAAATAAACAGCCTGAGAAGTGTCAGAACCATGGGATGATCACTTATGAACATAATTTCTTGTTGCTTAATGAGTAAAGATACATTTTAAATGTATCACATTGTCATACATGAATCTCTATCCCCATCATAACTTAGAAATTTACCAATTCTGTTTGCAGCAGTAAATACCGACCATGCATTATGGCTCAAGGCATGGGCACACAGAAGATTTTTTTTTTATGTTGGGGACCGGGGGGAAATTTAATGAATTATTGGAAATTTATTGCATTTTCTTGTTTTTCTTTTTTTCTATTTGTGGGAACTACCCCCTACCCTAGCCCCCTGCTGCATACAGTCAAAACAAAAAAAATCCCCATCACCCCCACTCTTACATGCAGGCCCCGCTAAACGCTTCTCGGCGGGGGTCAAGGGGCGGAGCCCCCTAAAGCTCAGGGGTTTTGGGCAATAAATTACGTTCAGATGAGCATAGTTTGATACCTTATTTGTGACACTGGCAGGACACAAATTGGTGTTGGGTCCAGGGGGCGGAGCCCCAGAAGCTCAGGGGTTTTATACATTACATTATCGTCAGATGAGCATATTTTTATACCCTATTTGTGACACTGGCAGGTCACGAATTGGCCTGGGGTCCAGGGGATGGAGCCCCGGAAGCTCAGGGGTTTTATACATTAAATTATTGTCAGATGAGCATATTTTGATACCTTATTTGTGGCACTGGTATGTCACTAATTGGTGTAGGGTCCATGGGGCGGAGCCCCCAGGAGCTGAGGGGTTATAGGCATTAAATTACCATCAGAATGGGCATTCAGGTGCCTGACTTTGGGCACTAGGTGAAATCCAGGGGGCAAAACAAATCTGTCCCCTTTTTTTTCCTTCTTTTTTTGCCACTGGAGCGTAGATCCCCTAGCATATTGCCGGCGTTTAGTCTCATTTGACAACGCCTAATTGAGTCAGCAGCCTAACATATTAGCTTATGGACGTTTACAAAAAGAATCGTTAAAAATTCATTTTTTGTTTAAACGAAAAGCACATCCACCCCGACGTACGTTGTCACTATCTCTTTCATTGGAACCCTCATGATATGATCCGTCCAGGAGGTAGAGGTCAGTGGTTTGTGCTGGCAATGTTCCAGGGAGCGAAAATGAGACAACCGGAGCCATATGTTGATAAGCATAGTAGCATACACATGCTTTAGCAGTCACGCAAAAACAAACACTGGCAAATTATTATTCAGATCTATTAGCAATAAATCATTGTCAACATTTTTTCATAAATTGGGGTAAAAAAAAAATCCAACTATATGAGCGACAGTGTAGGCCTATGACATGAGAGCGCACACTAGACACCCACCAAAATATTACCTTTTTACCCTATAGAAGACGGAACACTGGGGGCAGCATCACCAAAAGTTGTAGGTGTGTAGATTATACCAAGATACACCTCCATACAAAATTTGAAAGAAATCTGTTAAAGGTAAAGACCAGTATTGGAAACGCCCCAATTTCAAAAATTGAAATGGAAGCTCTTATTACCAATCATGTGAAAGAATATGGTTTGACTAATACATGATGATTAAAATTTTGCCGGGAAACCGCCTACTAATTGATATATTTGGTAAATTAGTTTATCCATTGGTATGTGAGAGATAAACGCACGTGTCGCGCACGTGTGCGTAGTCCCATATACATCTTCCTGTGTACATTGCTTGTAACTTTACGAAGACTGGCCAAATTTCTTATCATTTTGAAGATTCCAGAACCTTGCAGTACACACCAATACTATATGCTAGATGATCAACCTTCTCTGATCGATTCCACAACGTTTCTTTCACAATGCAATCGCATGCTGGTCTTAATCTTTAAGGAATGATGCAGTTATACCGCAAACTAGTGCCACGAAGACATCTATCAAAATATGACCTTTGACCCTGTTAAAGACAGAACACTGGAAGCAGCATCACCAAAATCTATAGACATGTAGATTATATCAAGATACACGTTTATTGAAAAATCGAACAAAATCCCTTGAAAAATGTGGCCTAAAGAGCACACACAAACCATCAAAAAAATATGGCCTTTTAGCCTATAAAAAACGGAAACTCTGGTGGCAGCATCACCAAAAGTGCTGTAGACCAAGATACACCTCCATACAAAATTTGAAAGAAATCTGATGCAGTTAGAATGCACACTAGAGTACACAAAAGTCACCTATCATAATATGACCTTTGACCCTTTAAAAGACGAAACAGTGCATGAGGCATCATCACCAAAATATATAGGCTTGAAGACTATTCCAAGATACACCTTCGTTCAAAATTTGAACGAAATCCTTTCAGAAATGTGGGTCATAGAGCGCGCACAAACCATCCACAAAATATGGCCTTTTACACTATAGAAGACGGATCACTAGCTGGGGGCAGCATCACCAAAATGTATAGGTGTGGAGACTGTACCACGATACGCCTCCATACTAAATTTGAAAGAAATCCGTCAGGGAATGTTGCAGTTAGAGCGCACACAAGAATATGACGCGGCGACGCGCCGCCGTGTCATATTCTTGTGTTACGCTGCTGAATCCAAAGTACCCCACCGGCATACTGCGGGGATACAATAATATAAAATAATCTAAATTTTAAACAGACCGAGAACATTTATATTGCGAAATATTGTAAGCGCTATGAGCGCCCAGCAGAAGTTAGCCCGGCGCTATACAGTGCGTCCCAGATAAAACGAAACCGAGAATTATCGATGTTTTATCATAACTTAATCACAATTATAATTTATAAATGACACATAATATTATTTGGAAAGCAACTTTGATGCAACTCATAATAATGCATATTTCACGCATGAGTGATTAAAATCAATTTGAAGAGAGGAAACCGAAAAGTTGTTTGGCGGGCGGTATCTGAATTTCAAAGAGAAAATCACATTTCTAAAAGGTTGAGTTTCTGCCCTTTCATATGACACCTCATTCAGGAAATATGAGCTAGGAATAACAAAGTTCTGATTGTTTAAAGTAGTGTTTGCATTTCCATAATTTGATTAAACGAATTCGTTTTCACTGGTTGCTTGCCGTATCAACAAACGAAATTAACAAAAGACTTACTCTGTTTCGTTGACAATCAGCCGTAGACGAAAGACTTCATGCATGGCTGATTGTCAACGAAATGGA